ATAATAATGATGATGATAATAATAGAGTAAAATAATGGAAATGTAATAACAGTAATAACAGAGTATTATTATTACTATTATTATTATTAACTTTATTTATACCCAGCTAACATCTCCCGAAGGACTCGGTGCGGCTTACAAAAGGCCAAGGCCCACAATAAAACAACAGCATAACAAATACAACAATAAAACTCATAAAGCAAACAAAAAATTAAATCAATAACAATAGACATTAAAAACAATAACACCACAACACATTTAAAAACTAAGGCCGGGCCAAAAGTAAAATTTAAAAGTGCTGGACATGACAGGTGACATGTATAGGTTTTTAGAGGTAGTGCTGTGTGCAGACAATCTTAAATCTCTAGTAAAGTGCATTTGTGACACGATGCTAGGAGCTTCCTACTCTGGAAAGGCACACCGGAACAACCACGTCTTCAAGCTCTTCCTGAAGACTGCCAGCGTTGGGGCTTGTCTAATGTCCTTGGGGAGAGAGTTCTAGAGTCGGGGGGCTACCACAGAGAAGGCCCTGTCCCTCGTCCCCACCAACCGCGCTTGCGACGCAGGTGAGATCGTGAGCAGGGCCTCTCCAGATGATCGGAGAGATCGTGTGGGTTCATATACGGAGATGCGATCACACAAGTAGGCGTGCTTATAAATGTGTAAATGTGCTTATGTATCCTTCCAATAAGAATAAAGAGAGTAACATAATAATAATAATAATAATAATAATAATAGAGTAAAATAATGGAAATGTAATAACAGTAATAATAGAGTAAAATAATAAATGTAATAATAACAATAAGAGTCAAATAATACATGTAATAATATCAATAATAAAGTAAAATAATAATGTAATAATAATTAAGTAAAATAATAAATGCAATAATAATAATAAATAGAGTAAAATAATACATGTAATAAAAATAATAATAACAACAAATAACGTTGACCCGAGTATAAGCCGAGAGGAACTTTTTCAGCCTATAAAAACGGCTGAAAAACTAGACTTATACTCTAATATATACAGTAGTTATATGAGTCAACATTGCCATATAATCCAGTGGATTTTGTATGGCAGTGTAGAAGGGGCCACAATTGTGGTGTATTTGCTCATCCTTCAAAAAAGGAAGAACCACAGAATATCAAGGCAAAATATTTCATGTCCAGAGTTGAATGGACACATTTGTTCTACCATCCACATATACTTCTGTCTCTGTCCATGTCTCTATACCAGATGTGGGAAAGATCACTTACAATCTGATAAATATCTCTCCTAATCACAGAAAATAGGTTGCCATGAAGCCAATTCAGATCCTCTCATTTTGCAGTGTGAGCAATGCCGTCTGTTTCTTCAACTGAGGTTCAACAGCTACACATTCCTTTTTACAGAAGAAGTCATCCATCACTAACCAAAAATATTCACGCGAGATTGAATGAAGACAATGGCTTCGTAGTGCTCTACATATATTCACACAGAAGCCCTCGCTGTTGCCCATACAACCAAAGGATTCTCTTCAGATAGGTTAGAGCCATAGAAACTGTCTTAGGTGAACACTTCAGCCCTAACCGACCACTATAAAAATCTGAAAGTAAATTTGGGATAAGAGTCATGCCTTGAATCATTCCGGATCCTATTACACTCTATCCCAGGCCCCTTCTACATTGACATATAAAATCCAGGTTATCTATCTGCTTTGAAGTGGATTATATGGCAGTGTCGTTTTATATAAATTATCTGCTTTGATAATCTGGATTTTTTGGCAGTGTAGAAGGGGCCCCACTCCCACAACTGTATAAAAGAAAATGAAGGTTTAGTTAATTCTGTACTGAGTTTGTATCCTTGAAAACTTATACAACTAAAACTTGTTAGGCTAAATCTACACTGCCATATAATCCAGATAAAAACAGATATCCCACATTATCTGCTTTGAACTTGATAATAATAATAATAATAATAATAATAATTTTATTTGTATCCCACCCCTTCCTCCGAAGGGACTTGGAGCAGCTTACATGGGGCCCCTAGATTACATGAATTATATACAGCCCCTTCTATGCTGCTACATAATCCAGGTTATCAACACAGGTAATCCACACTGTCTTCTTCAAACTGGATTATATGAGTCTAAGACCCTTTCTACATTGCCACATAATCCAGTTTCTGAATCAAGAGTATCTGCTTTGAACTGAATTATCTAGTAGTGCAGACTCATATGTAAAATCCAGATTATCTGCTTTGATGATTTTGATTATATGGCACTGTAGATCCATATAATCCAATTCAAGGCATTTTCTATGGCTGTGTAAAAGGGAGCTGAGCAGTTACAAACAATTAAATACAGTAAGACTTCTGAACTAAACTATAGGTGAACCACAGGAGGCTCAAGTCATCTAGCTCAGGCCCCTTCTACACTGCCATATAATCCAGGTTATCAAATCAGATAATACACATTATTTGCTTTGAACTGGATTATAGGAGGCTACACCTATAATGGCTGGGAGTCAGCTGCATTAAGATCACAAATGGTCATGAGTTCGAAGTCAGCCAGGGTGAGAGTGAGCTTCCGACCAATTTGTGTAGCTTGCAGCCCAAAAGACAGTTGCATCTGTCAAGTAGGAAATTTAGGTACCGCTTATGTGGAGGCTAATTTACGACGCCATAAAAAATCTCCAGCAAGCATGCAAAGAATGAGGAAGTACTTCATCAGTGTCACAAATGGACGGTGAAGGAACAGCTCCCCTGGTGGCCAGAATACCCTCATGAAAAGTTGGAATGTTAAATTGCCTCTGTGTCTGTCTATATATGTTGTGAACCCATCATATATTTACTACATTCTCCTTGGAATCAGAGTACACAGAATGTAGTAGATTTTATTTTTTATTTGTCGTGTCAGGGCAACCAGTCAATTGTATTACATTTCTAACAGAACAAAACAAACAAACAGACAAAATTTGTGAGTTTGGTAGTTGATTAAATGTCCTTTGGCCAGTATCTGGCCACTTGGAGTGCATGTGGCAGGGCTCAGGGTGCATTGCAGCAGGTAGTCAGTGGTTTGCTCTTCTCCACACTCGCATGTCGAGGACTCCACTTTGTAGCCCCATTTCTTGAGGTTGGTGCCAGAGCGCAGTCTGTTCAGCACCTTCCAAGTCGCCCAGTCCTCTGTGTGCCCAGGGGGGAGTCTCTCATTTGGTATCAGCCATTGATTGAGGTTCTGGGTTTGAGCCTGCCACTTTTGGACTCTCTTGCTGAGGTGTTCCAGCGAGTGTCTCTGTAGATCTTAGAAAACTATTTCTTGATTTAAGCCGTTGACGTGCTGGCTGATACCCAAACAGGGGATGAGCTGGAGATGTCACTGCCTTGGTCCTTTCACTATTGGCTGCTACTTCCCGGCGGATGTCAGGTGGTGCAATACCGGCTAAGCAGTGTAATTTCTCCAGTGGTGTAGGGCGCAGACACCCTGTGATAATGCGGCATGTCTCATTAAGAGCCACATCCACTGTTTTAGCGTGGTGAGATGTGTTCCACACTGGGCATGCATACTCAGCAGCAGAGTAGCATAGCACAAGGGCAGATGTGACACAGTGAAGACAGACACAATATAAATACTGTAAAGAAATAAATAAATACTCCAGGCATGGGCAAACTTCACCTCCCACAATTCCTAACAGCGGCTATTAGGAACTGTGGGAGTTGACGTCCAAAACACCTGGAAGGCCCAAATTTGCCTATGCCTGATCTACCCGGCCATGTAACCCAGCTCAAAGCAGGTGATCTGGGTGTTATATGGCAATATAAAAATCTCTGGCATAGACACTGAGAACTGGGAAGCCCTGGCCCTTGAGCGCTCCAGCTGGAGGTCAGCTGTGACCAGCAGTGCTGCAGAATTCGAGGAGGCACGAGTGGAGGGTGAAAGAGAGAAACGTGCCAGGAGGAAGGTGCGTCAAGCCAACCCTGACCGGGACCGCCTTCGACCTGGAAACCAATGCTTTCACTGTGGGAGAAGATGCGGGTCAAGAATAGGGCTCCACAGCCACCTACAAATCCACAAGGAAACCCATCATGAAAGACCATCTTACTCGTCCAACGAGGGATCGCCTAAGTAAGTAAGTAAGTATATGGCAATGTAGACTGGACTTCAGTGATTCCAAATAGCTGATCAGCCAGGTGCTATGGACTTCAATTCCCAGAAACCTCAGCTACCTTGGTCAATGATCAGGGATTCTGGGGAATGAACAACCAGAGTTTGGGAAAGCCGGGTCTAGGTGGGGAAGAGTTGATTGCTTTGTAGCCTCGGAGGCCCAAAGGAAAAAGCCGGGGAGAGGAAGGCCCCATTTACCCTGACCATAGAATGTAGATGGGGCTCAAAACAGCCGCTTGTCCATCACCAAATCCCCCGGGCCGAGGAGACTGAGGGACGTTCTTTCATCCAAGCGAGGCGCAACTGCAACAAGGCGCCCCGTTGCATGCTGGGGCTTGTAGTGCCACATTCCCGCCTCGCCTATGGCTCGCATTGAGGCGGGAACTACCACTCCCAGCAGCGCTTGCAGCAAGCACAGCATTTAGCCGATTAGGTGCTGCCTTCGCTCTTCCTCTGGCCCCCCGCCTCCCTCGTGTTCTTGGCAATGCCCGCTTTGGGGACGAGGCGGGGACTCCTCTGGTGAAGGGCGGGTTACTGTGTAACTGCTGCTGTTGCTGCTACCGGGCTTTTTCTTGCCAAAGAGGACCTCAAGGSCGGCGCGAGACTGGAGGAGAAGGTGAGCAGCGYCGGCGCGTGACCGGCTGTGCGCGCGCGCGAGCGAGCGACTCAGCGCGTGAAGGCATCCTTGGATCTTTATTATCTTGGGCGGGGGAGGGGGGGGGGGAGAGAGAGAAAGACTCCAGCCAATGGGAAACGGCGGAGGGCGAGGAAGACCCCCCYCACACACACACACTTCTGCGCGTGCGTGTGCGCGCGCGATCCCTCTTTTTTGCCTTCAGTTTTAGTCAGAGGCGCTAGTTTTCTCCTCAGCTTTCTCCTCAGGAGGAGTGGGCTCATGACAGGGCTTACCTGCTTTGCCATATTTCTGGCCTTCCCAGGTCTTTCAAGGCGGGGAAATGAAACAAGAAGGACTCCTTCTTCCCCTCAGAATTAAAATAGAGAGTGGTGCACACTAGCAGTGTCATAGCTCAGGCATGGGCAAATTTGGGCCCTCCAGGTGTTTTGGACTTCGACTCCCACAATTCCTAACAGCCTCAGGCCCCTTCCTTTTCCCCCTCAGCCGCTTAAGGAAGGGGCCTGAGGCTGTTAGGAATTGTGGGAGTCGAAGTCCAAAACACCTGGAGGGCCCAAGTTTGCCCATATCTGATATAGCTCGTTAGGTAGATGTAGAATACGCAAATAATAATACGGTACAAGAAGAGAAACGTGCACTGGCAGATTATGTGAACGACAGTCAAGAACCAACATTGAGGGAAGTCAATAGTACACTGCTTCAAGTGCAAAAGACAAAGAGGGAATACAGCAAAAACACAATCCAGAGGAGAAAACTGGCAAAAGAAGGCTCTCCGTGGACAGATTCTGGCAAAAATTGAGAGTCAAATTGACAAAAAAACATGGCTGTGCTCACAAATGGAACTTTGCAAAAGGAAACAGAGGGCCTGATTCTGGCAGCCCAAGAACACGCCATTAGAACCAATGCCATCAGAGCCAGAATTGAAAAGTCGACGACAGATCCCAAAGGTAGACTCTGCAAGGAAGCAGATGAAACAATAGATCACATCCTCCGCTGCTGCAAGAAGATCGCGCAGACAGACTACAAGCTGAGGCATAACACCGTTGCTCAGATGATTCATTGTGACTTGTGCCACAAATACCATCTGACTGCGACAAAGAACTGATGGAATCACAAGCTGGAAAAAGTTACATGGAATGAACACGTCAAGCTCCTCTGGGACTCCTGAATTCAGACTGACAGAGTTTTTGGATCATGATCATGTTAAAAAACAACGTATGGATTGTCGATGTTGCAATCCCAGGTGAAAGCAGGATTGAAGAAAAACAACTAGAAAAGCTGACACGATATGAGGATTTAAAAATTGAACTGCAAAGACTCTGGCGCAACCAGTAAAGGTGGTCCCGGTGGAAAAATGGGAATATTTATGGAAAATAGGTTTTAAATTTTCGATAGCTGGGTCCATCAGAGAAAACATGTATAAAATGTTCTATAGAAGTTATTTGACTCCCAAGGTGATAAACAAGATAGATAAACCCACTAGTGGGAATCCTGGAGATGCAAAATACATAAAAGTACCTTCTACTCTTGGTGGACCAGTAGGCTGGTACAAACTTTTTGGCAAAAGGTAATCAAGGAAATAAACAAAATAATTACTAAAACAGTTAAGAGAAACCCATAAATGTGCCTCTTTGGTTTGTTTGGCAAAAAAAAAACAACTAAAGAAGATATATAAATTTGTAGCTGCAAGGCTAATAGTAGCAAAATAATGGAAGAGAGAAAAGGAGCTATTGATATAAAGGACTGGAGAAGAAAATTATTAGACTGTATTCAAATGGCCAAGTTATCCAATAGCATTAAAGGAGGAAATAATGAAGATTGTGTTAGAAAATGGAAGCTTGTATTTGAATATCTGGAAAAGGAAGACAGAGGTAGACTTTAAAATAGCAGCAAGAGGAAGATATAGGTAGGTTTCTATGAGATATTAGTTTCACATTGAGTGGTGTCGGAAGTCATGGGTGGTGGTTCACGGGTGGGGGTGGGAGTCTGTATATCACTTTTACCCAATAAATTTTTTTAAAACCAGATCATCCAGATTACCTGCTTTGAACTGGATTATATGAGTCTACACTGCCATATAATCCAGTTCAAAGTAGATAATCTGGATTTTATATGGCAGTGTGGGAGTGGCTTCCATTTTTACACAGTAACAGTCCTTTATTTTAAATCCGAATATGAAATTTTAGTGCTGAGTTTGGACTGCCCCAAGCTGAGAAAGTAGGCAAAGAGTATGCATCCCATTTATTTATTTATTTATTTACCTTACTTATATACCGCTGTTCTCAGCCCGAAGGCGACTCACAGCGGTTCACAACAAATACGAACAGCAAAAATTCAGTGCTACAGTATAGAAACAGTTAACAACCTAACACATTACACAATTAATAAACAGTTACTACAATACCCATTCACTGTCGTCTCGTCATCAAAAACATGTTCCAGATTCGTCATCCATTGCCTCCTTCCTGCAGGATTCTGGGGCATGTACATAGTTTAGTGAGGCCTAGGACTCCTCTAGCTGAGCATCTTAAAGCACTTCCTGCAGGATTCTGGGGCATGTACATAGTTTAGTGAGGCCTAGGACTCCTCTAGCTGAGCATCTTAAAGCACTCTTTGTATTTTATAATATAAATCTGTTAGGAAATTTTAGTATTAGATAATTTTATAAATTTGATAATCTTACCATTTTTACTACTTTTGCCACTTACAATTTTACTACTCTACAATTTTACAATTTTATTATCTTTATTATAATTATCATTATTATTATTATTAGTATTTTGCTTGGTTTCTTTCCCTGCTTTTTCACAGTTTTACTACTTTATACATTTTATAAGGGTCACATTTGGAACTCTTAAAGCAATGGCATCAAAGTACAGGAGAACAAAACTGTTTTGGTTCTTTTAGCTTAATTAGATTTTAACTACTAGGATGGTTTCTACGAGGGCTCAGCTAAGCAAAACCTCTGCTCTGAACCTGCTGTAGGCTGGTATTTTCTTATTCTTCCTCACATCTGATGTGGAGGACAAGCAGTTTTCCCTCCAATGTGACAGAATGTCTCTTACCTTGTTTTGCCCACTGCCTACAGTTATTTATTTCTTTTCTGGATACTCACTAGGGACTGGCTGCCAATGGTTCAGGGATCAACACTGGTTCATGGAACACTGCTTGATCTAACATTGTTCTGTTTCACAAAACCCAAGGAAGAGCCTTGGAAACACTCACGGTGCCTTCCTGTCTGTCCCACTGTTTATTGATCACAACCGGACTTATTTTGAAAGGGAGCCAACAATTTATCTGTTGCCTGAATGTAATCATCCTTCTCACATAAAAGGTGTAAGTTTAATACCTGCTTTTAGTACTACGTTGTCTTGCCATGTGGCAAGAAGTCCTTGGCCTAACATTAGAGATCTTTTCTTGATCCTACCCATTAACCCGATTGCATTGACCACTGCCTTCTTCCTTTGGGTTTCATTTTCTGAAAACGTTTTCTTCACTTCCTCTTCTAATTGTTCCAGTTCTTGTATCGCCTTTGCTTCATCATGCTTTGTCATAAGGATAAGATTTATAGCCTGTTCTGGTGTACAAATGAGGAGTGGCTGGCAAGTGTTCAGTTTTACTGACTTACTGTCTGAAGAAAAAAATAAGGGTCTCCATTTGGAACCCCACACCTGAGACTCTCATCTCTGTTTTGTGGCCATAACTAACAATGTAAGGAGAACCTGCCAACAAGAATCATAGAATCAAAGAGTTGGAAGTGACCTCATGGGCCATCCATTCCAACCCCCTGCCAAGAAGCAGGAATATTGCATTCAAATCACCCCTGACAGATGGCCATCCAGCCTCTGTTTAAAAGCTTCCAAAGAAGGAGCCTCCACCACACTCCGGGGCAGAGAGTTCCACTGCTGAACGGCTCTCACAATCAGGAAGTCCTTCCTCATGTTCAGATGGAATCTCCTTTATTGTAGTTTGAAGCCATTGTTTCACGTCCTAGTCTCCAAGGAAGCAGAAAACAAGCTTGCTCCCTCCTCCCTGTGGCTTCCTTTCACATATTTATACATGGCTATGATATCTCCTCTCAGCCTTCTCTTCTTCAGGCTAAACATGCCCAGCTCCTTAAGCCACTCCTCATAGGGCTTGTTCTCCAGACCCTTGATCATTTCAGTCGCCCTCCTCTGGACACATTCCAGCCTGCCAATATCTCTCTTGAATTGTGGTGTCCAGAATTGGACACAATATTCTAGGTGTGGTCTAACCAAAGCAGAATAGAGTAGCATGACTTCCCTAGATCTAGACACTATGCTCCTATTGATGCAGGCCAAAATCCCATTGGCTTTTTTTGCCGCTACATGACATTGTTGGCTCATGTTTAACTTGTTGTCCACGAGGACTCCAAGATCTTTTTCACACGTACTGCTCTTGAGCCAGGCATTGTCCCCCATTCTGTATCTTTGCATTTCGTTTTTCCTGCCAAAGTGGAGTATCTTGCATTTGTCACTGAGTCTAAAATTAAGTCAAACATTTATGACTATAAGCCTTTGAAATATTTTACAAGCTATCTTCACCACCACATTCAATTTCTTTCTCAATGTTTCTTTTAGTTATCTTTCAAACTTTCTCTAGCAAATATTGATTGTGCTTTCTTCTGTGTTTGAAGATTTTTGCTGCTATTTAAATGCCGTTTTCTTAAAATCTATCTTTTAAAAGCAATGGAAAAATGAAGGAAAATATTGTGCCCTTTGGTTAGCCTAAAAAAGTATTTTCAAAATATTGAGAGTGCTCTGTGGAAATCAGCTCAGAGCATAAAAGTGAAACCTGTTAGATGTTTCTTGAATGTAATGGCAACTCTGTCAAAGGTCAGCCTGTGCACACAATAGAAAGTTTACTTTGTTAAATTGGACTGGATTGGTACATGTTTTGAGTGCAGAAAAATCTTTAGATAATCAATTGAGTAGCCTTGATTGTAAGGCATGAAACCAGGA